AATCAGCATCCACAGTTCTTTCAGTTTTTATATGGTTTAAATCAGCAGCCAATGATGGAATGAAGGGAGCAATAGTCAAGAAGCTTGGAGTTAAGAAATGTAAAACACAAGCAGGGACATAAATCAGCACAAACTAATTTGCTGTGGCTATTTCTGGCCTTATTATTAAGAGAAAGAATCCAGCCCTATCCTTGCTACTGGAAGGACTGCCTGTGAAAAGGAAAGATTCGGGTAGAAACAGGAAAAAGTGTCAATTCCGAGCTTTGCTGTTATCATGTTTACGTTATTAAGAAAAGACAGATATCATGCCCGATTTGACAGCAGCTACTGTCTACATTACACTTGTATAGAGAAGCAAAGACAAATGACACATAGGAAACTGTTTTAGTTAACTCACAACATGACAAGTAACAAAATGTATAACTTGACAAGGTGACTGTAAGAGGTATATCCCTGTGGCAACACTGTGTGGAAAACTGGTTATAACAGAAAACATTTCCTGTTCTGAAAGCCAATAAAACCACCTCTCAGAGGCCCAAGTGGTCCCAAAACCATTTTGTCCAAAAAAAATGGAAGTTTCGTTGGATATCATTATTCTTTTGGATTGTTACTGGAAACTTGCATAACAATTGTTAGGTTAGTTTCAGTTCAAAGAGTTCAGTTTCCACTTAGTACAACATGACAAAGTGTAATTCAATTACTGAATTAATTAAAATATAGGTTGCATTTTAACAAACTAAAAAATTCAACTCGGGTTGCACCCTGTAAAAAGTCAATAATATTTTCCTAGGGGTGGGGGAAAATGAGACGACTGGAAGGACTCAAGTTTAAGGGTTGGCATACAACACAGGAATACGCTACATCATACACTTCCTCATTTTTATATATTCCGAATATGTTGCCCAAAACAATAGCTGTAATGTCAGAGCCACCTTACAGCAATTGCTCAAACAACTATTCAATTATTCATCCAGTGATCATGAATAGAGGAAGGATCTAGTTGAATTAAAAGATTCCTTTCATAAATATTGTGATACAACCAGTATCAGGATGAGGTTCCCCAATTTATGGGGAGGCGATGGTTTGGTGGTATTATCACTTGACAGTTAATTCAGAGACCTAAGTAATGTTCTGGGAGATCCAGGTTTGAAACCCGCCATGGCAGGTGGTGGAATTTGAATTCAATAAAAATCTGAAATTGAGAGAGTTTAATGACCACAAATCCATTGATGATTGTTGGAAAAACCCATCTTGTTCACTAACGTCCTTTAGGGAATGAAATGTGCAATCCTTGTTCTGAGGAAAGGTCACCGGACCTGAAAACATTAACTCTTGATTTTTTTCTTCACAGATGCTGCCAGACCTGCTGAGTGTTTCCAGCAACTTGTTTTTGTTCCTGATTTACAGCATCCGCAGTTCTTTTGGTTTTTAATCTGCCGTTCTCTTTATAGAATGGCTCCAAAGAGAAAAAAAAGAGACAAATTACATTCTACGAACCTAACATAAACCAGAGTCCATAAATACAGAGCTGGAAAAGCACAGCAGGTCAGACAGCATACAAGCAGCAGGAAAGTCAATGTTTCGGCCAAAATGTTTAGTTTCCTGCTCCTCGGATGCTGTCTGACCTGCTGTGCTTTTCCAGCTGTATTTATGGACTCTATCTTCTTCCAGCATCTGCAAGTCTTTACTGTCTCTATAAACCAGTGTCCGAAGAAAATCCTACAGAACGATGGACAAATACCAAGCAGTGAATGTCAATGTTAAGATTTGATTTTTGTTATCACCTGTACCAAGGTACAGTGAAGTGTTTTGCATGCTCTACAGACAGACCATACCATACGATACAATACAAAATGCATCAGGTAGCAGAACAGAGTGCAAAATTCAGTGTTAAAGCTGAAGAGAAGGTGTGGAAACAGGGATAGGTCTGTTCAAAAGTCTGTTAACAGCAGGAAAGAAAGAGTGAAAGGATGAGTTAATTAGGGACTGAGAGAGATCTTAAAATTATATTAAACTTGAACCAGATATTCCTTTAAAGATAATTTAATTAAGTCTTAAAACGTCAGGGACAGGGGCAACTTTCTTACTGGAATTTACAAAGCAGCCTTCTAAACGTAAAGAATGGCGTCTTCAACCTTAACACCTTGTAAAGGGAAGCCATGTCATTCCCCCTGTTAAAACAGGTACAAAACACCTCCCGTCCATACTTGTAAAGGAATATCAAGAGTGAGTCACAAATTCTCTTTTCTTTTTTGAGAAAGAAGAGACAGCAAGTAAAACATTAGTCGTTAGCCAATAAATTAATCAACAAGTCTTTAGAATGAAAACTTCCATGGAAAAAGGAAACGTTGTAACTAAGGTCTGTGTCAGCAGGAAGGAGTGAAGTGAAAGGAGACAGAGCTGGGGGGTGGAATGTCACTCCCAGGGGGCAGCAGCCATGTTTCCGAGACAAAAAAAGCGTAGCAGTAAGGAAAAAGTGACCGGGGGAATTCTCCGCAGAACCGTGCTTTTGTATTTCCTTTCCTTTTCGCCATGTCAAGGAAACCTGTGTCTCTGCAGCGATGTCAATCCCTTTCCCAGTGACACAGCAGGATAATTAATACTTTAGGAACTGAAATGCCAACTCCTGGGACTTGTAACTCCCCCAGTAGCAGCCGATGCGGAAGTGATTAGAGATCCTTGGGGGGGGTGGTTGGAGAAACAAGCAGGTACATTGCAAAATACAGCAAACAATTTCCCAATGCAAACCTAACAGACCTACCACCCCGTTTTCCCTACAGGATCGCGAATGGCGAGGGTTGGAAAGCTTAAAATTTCAGATCCATCTCACTTCTTGACTTTGTAGTTCGCGAAGTTAACAAATAGTCGGGGGAAGATGGTAAACTTTTAAACCCCATTTTGAGACGGTACTCCCCACCCAGCTTGCAAGCACCGACAACACACACATGTCCAACTCACCCAGCTCACTATCCGGGCGATAGTCTGAGGCTGCTTCAGAAAGTTCTCTAAGTCAAACGCTCCACCAGCCTTAGCTGCACCGTAGACATTTCCTTTCATCTCGAGACGGGGAGGGGGGGGACACAAAAAGTTGTTTTTCTTTCGCCGCCCCGGTTATGTTGGTTTGTTTTAAGGGAAGAAGATGGTACCTAGTTGTGAATGGGGGCGGAGGTGCGTGTATAAGCAGTTCCCGGATCACACTACAAACTTCCCAGGACACGTCAGTGCGAGAAAAAAAGGGGTTGGAGCATCATGTGATAGCACCTGAAGACAAGCAATAACCGGAAGGCTGAGCTGTGACCAGCAGCAGTAGCAGAGAATCTAGTCAATATGCACTAACGCTGGTCCTCATTTTCATTACTAATTTCCTTGTATCTAGTGTTTACAATGATAGCTGAAAGCGGTAGAGTCGCTGGGTTTTTTTTCCCTGTATCTTTACACATCACTTGCTAATCCTAATTCTCGTTGATTTTCTCATGTTTTGCTCCAAATTCTCAAAAATTTTGTGCATTAGAAAATTTTTGACCAGTGCTGTGTTTGAAACACCCCACTGCTTCTTCACATCTTTTTTATTTATCCACGTGATTTTTAAAAATTCATTCATGGGATGAGGGCATTGCTGGCCAGGTAGCGTTTATTGCCCATCCCTAATTGCCCAGACGGCAGTTAAGAATCAACCACATTGCTGTGGGTCTGGAGTCACATGTAGGCCAGACCAGGTAAGGATGGCAGTTTCCTTCCCTCAAGGTGTAGAGCTGGATGAACACAGCAGGCCAAGCAGCATCAGAGGAGCAGGAAAGCTGACGTTTCGGGTCGAGACCCTTCTTCAGAAATGGGGGAGGGGGTGGGGATTCTGAAATAAATAGGGAGAGAGTGGGAGGCAGATAGAAGATGGATAAAGGAGAAGATAGGTGGAGACGAGACAGACAGGTCAAAGAGGCGGGCTTAGAGCCAGTAAAGGTGAGTGTACGTGGGGAGTTAGAGAGGGGATAACAAGGTGTAGAGCTGGATGAACACAGCAGGCCAAGCAGCATCAGAGGAGCAGGAAGGCTGACGTTTTGGGCCTAGACCCTTCTTCCTACTGTCTAGGGAGGGGTTAGGTCGGTCCAGGGAGGACTAACAGTTCAAGGAGGCATGATGTGGTTAGTGGGTAGGAGATGGGGGTGGGGCTTGAGGTGGGAGGAATAGTTAGGGAGGCGGGGACGAGCTGGGCTGGTTTTGGGATACAGTTGGGGTAGGGGAGATTTTGAAGCTTGTGAAGTCCACATTGATACCCTTGGGCTGCAGGGTTCCCAAGCGAAATATGAGATGCTGTTCCTGCAGCTTTCGGGTGTCATTGTTGTGGCACTGCAGGAGGCCCAGGATGGACATGTCGTCCAAGGAGTGGGAAGGGGAGTTGAAATGGTTCGCGACTGGGAGGTGTAGTTGTTTGTTGCGAACCGAGCGTCGGTGTTCTGCAAAGCGGTCCCCAAGCCTCCGCTTGGTTTCCCCAATGTAGAGGAGGCCACAACGGGAACAGCGGATACAGTATACCACATCAGCAGATGTGCAGGTGGAAGGTCTTCTTAGGGCCTGGGATGGGGTTGAGGGGGGAGGTGTAGCATTTGCTCCGGTTGCAGGGAAAAGTGCCGGGTGTGGTGGGGTTGGAGGGGTGTGTGGAGCGGACAAGGGAGTCACGGAGAGAGTGGTCCCTTTGGAAAGCAGATAAGGGTGGGGAGGGAAAAATGTCTTTGGTGGTGGGGTCAGATTGCAGATGGTGGAATTGTCAGAGGATGATGCGTTGGATTCGGAGGTTGGTGGGGTGGTACGTGAGGACGAGGGGGATTCTGTTTTGGTGGTTATTGCGGGGAGGGGGTGTGAGGGATGAGTTGCGGGAAATGCGAGAGACACGGTCGAAGGCATTTTCGACCACTGTGGAGGGGAAGTTGCAGTCCTTGAAAAATGAGGATGTCCGGGAGTGGAACACCTCATCTCGGGTGCAGGAAGCCTACGGCGGAGGCGAAGGAATTGGGAAAGGGGGATGGCCTTTTTGCAGGAAGATGGATGAGAGGAGGTGTATTCTAGGTAGCCGTGGGAGTTGGTAGGCTTGAAATGGATATCGGTTTCCAGGTGGTTGCCAGAGATGGAGACAGAGAGGTCCAGGAAGGAGAGAGAGGTATCAGAGATGGTCCAGGTGAACTTAAGGTTGGGGTGGAAAGTGTTAGTGAAGTGGATGAACTGTTCGAGCTCCTCGAGGGAGCACGAGGTGCCGCCGATACAGTCATCGATGTAACGGAGGAAGAGTTGGGGGATAGGGCCAGTGTAGCTTTGGAAGAGGGATTGTTCCATGTATCCTACAAAGAGGCAGGCATAGCTTGGGCCCATGCAGGTACCCATGGCCACCCCCTTTGTCTGTAGGAAGTGGGAGGAATTGAAAGAGAAATGACCCAGATGGGTTTTTCCTGACAATCGATAGTGGATTCGTGGTCATCATTAGATTCTTAATTCCAGACATTTATTGAATTCACCATCTGCCATGGTGGGATTCAAACCCGGGTCCCAGAACATTATCTGGGTCTCTGGATTAACAGTCCAGCGGCAGTTTGGTCCCCTTAAATAAGGGGACCATTAAGGGGACCAAACAGCTCACAGAACTCCAGATGTGACCTCACCAACACCTTTTACAATTGCAGAAATGTGGACATTGCTGGCTGGGCCACCATTTATTGCCCATCCCTACTGGCCCTTCAGAAGGTGCCTTCTTGAACTGCTGCAGTCCATGTGCTGTAGGTAGACGGACAATGCTGTTAAGAAGGGAACTCCACGATTTTGACCCACCTACACTGAAGGAACAATGGTATATTTCCAAGTGAGGATGGCGAGTGGCTTCGACAGGGAACCTGCAGGTAGTTAGAATACCATTAGAAATAGGAGCAGGAGTAGACCTTTGGCTGCTACACTACCCAATAAGATCATGGCTGATCTGATATTCCTCATGTCCAGTTTCCTGCCCTTTTCCTGTAACCCTTATTCCCTGACTGATCAAGAATTAATCTCAGCCTTAAATATACAAAAGGACTCTGCACCCCACAGACCTCTGTGACAAGAAGTTCCAAAGACTCTAAATTCTCTAAGCAAGGAAATTCTGCCTCATTTCAGTCTTAAATTGGTACCCCTTAATCTGAGCCCTCTAATCCTACACTCTCCCATGTGGAGAAACATCCTCTCAGCATTTACTCTGTCAAGCCCCTTAAGAATCCAATGTTTCAATGAGATCACCTCTCATTCTTCTAAATTCCAATGAACAAAGCCCCAACCTGTTTGATCTCTGGTCATAATAGAGTCCCTCCATACTGGGGATCATCCTAGTGAACCACTGAAATAATAAATAAATAAGGGGACCAAACTGCCCACAGAACTCTAGATGTGACCTCACCAACACCTTTTACAATTGCAGAAAGACTATCCTACTCTTATACTCCACCCCCCATGAAATAAGGGCTAACATTCCATTAGACTTCCTGATTACCTGCTCCACCTGTGTGCTGGCTTTCTGTGCTTTGTGCACAAGTACCCCTAAGTCTGTTTGAGTTACAGCTTTCTGCAGTTTTTCTCCATTTAAATAAAACTGTTTTTGTTCCAAAATGAACAACTTCACGTTTCCCCACATTATACACCATTTGCCAGCTGTTATGTCTACTTACTTAACTCTCTGTAAACTGTATCCCTCTCATAACTTGCCTTTCTATCTATTTCTGTGTCATATGCTAATTTGGTTATAGTACATTCGCTCTTTCCTTCAAATCTTTAATATATATTGTAAACAGTTGTGGTCCCAGCACTGATCCCTGTGGAATCCAGCTGGTTACAGGTCACCAGCCTGAACTCCTTATCCCCACTCACTTTTTCCTGCCCATCAGCCAATTTTGTATCCAAACCAGCATACCAGTTCCAACACCATGGTCTCTTATGACTTAACCTTTTGTGAGGTTGTTGAACACCTCCTGGAAGTCCAAATACAACATATCTACTGGTTCCTCTCTATCCATTCTGGTTTAAACTTCCTCGGAAATCTCTAATAAATTATTCAGACATGATTTCCTTTTCATGAAGCCATGCTGTCCCTGTTTTATCAGATTATGATTTTTCCAAATGTGCTGATACTACTACCTTAATAATTGATGAATAGTTTTTAATAATGGATGTTAGGCTAATTGGCCTATAGTTTACCAATATTTTTCTCTGACCCTTTTCAAATAGGGTGAAAAAATGGCAGTTTTCCAATTCTCTTCTGGTACTCCTCCAAAATTCAAGGAGCTTCTTGAAAATTTGTTTTTTGGCAGTGGTGTTCCTATGTGTCTGCTTTGCCCTTTTAGATGGTTGTGGTCCAAGGTTTGGAAAATGCTAAGGATCTTTGGTGAATTTCTGCCATGCATCATATAGATGATACGCACTGCTGCTACAGAGTGTCAGTGGTGGAGGAAGTGAATACTTGTGGATATGGTGCCAATCAAGTGGGCTGCTTTGTCTTGGATTATGTCAAACCTCTGGACTAGTGTTGGAGCTGCACACGAGCTGAGTATTCTATCAC